TGGTGCCTTCATGTAGTACATTGTAGAGGGATCCATACGGCATCCAGTGTGTGATGAGTGTAGGGTGAGGAGCAGGTGGAGACTGGCAGGCACCTAACACTGGGAGCACGTTCGGGTGTGAGAAAATCCTGGGAGAGGGAAAGATTGTCCCTGGCTGAGAATTATGATAAAAGATCTCCCCTTTCTGTACCATTCAGAGTTCCTCGGAACCAGCAACTTCCAGTTTAGACCTTGCCCCACCTGAGCCGGGGACACTCCTCATTGAAGTCCCTGCTTTTCCTTGTACTCCAGTCTCGAACCTTCAGCACCTTCACGACAATGTCATTTCCCTGCCAGCGGCCCTTCCATAGCTGAAGGACAGGTACAGGTTAGGAGGCTTTAAAGCCACCACTTCTTTGTCCATTAACTGGGGGGAAATCTTAAAAGCAGGTGCAAAGCAGGTAATTTGTGGGGGTTTTGGAAGGGAGGGACAAGAAGGGGAAGAGTCACCTCTCCAGAGTGATTCTCATTGAGCTTCGCCAGAAAGTTGAGCTGTTTAAAGTCAATGCCCGAGTGTTTGTTCAGGGTCCCGTTTCCTAAGAATATGGGCAGGTCAGGCACCCAGCTTTGCCCTAATCCAGCCCAAGGAGCCCAGGATAACACTATTTCAACCCCTCCCCCCACAACAGTGACTCACGGGGCCGAGTACGGGTGGTCCCCTTCCAGAATGTGTCCTTGTATGGAATACGGTTGAGATTCTGACCCATCTTCTCTGCCCGTTCTGGGGAAGAAAAACAGCCTGAGTTGTGGTAAAGAGGAAGGACACAGGCAGGGAAGGACAAGACAAGAGAACCAAACTAGGGGTAAGGGATGGACCTCGGAGAAGCTCTCTCAAGGGTGCCTTGGCTTTGTCTACAGGCATCTCGCCATACTTGTTACAGATGCTGACAAGGGCTCCATTAGCCACCAGATCCTGGAATGAAAAGGTGGTTATGATGAGTACCCCTGCTACTTCCCTGGCAGTCAACAATCCTTTTGAGTGTCACATGATAGTACCGATAGGATAGGTTGAGGTTTTAGGCCCACTTTGCTTCTTACCCGTCCCAGGACTTGGGGCCTGAGTACTCACCTCTGCCACTTGATCCTGGCCCCAAAAACAGGCATAGTGCAGAGGCACATTCCCATGCTCATTCACTGCATTGATGTCGGCCTTATACTGCAACAGCTGGACCCCATGGCCAGACAAAAAGAAGAGATAGAAGGCAGTCAGTCCCAAATGTGTTCCAGCATGGAAAATGGGAAGGCACCTTAGATTACAAGTGCCTGCTGACCTCATGGTATGTCTGTGATATGGGTGATGGAGGGCTTTGTGCATACCTTTTGTACAATATCACGATGTCCGTGACTAGCTGCCAGATGCAGGGGTGTGTCGTCCCCACGGTTCATCACATTGATCCGTGCCCCCCTCATGATCAGCATCTCAACCACTGCAGAGCGGCCCTCTCGGCAGGCCCAGTGCAAGGGAGAAAAGCCATGATCATCCCTTAGAAAACGGGCAAGAGTCACTGAGCTGAAGGTGGTCTGGGAAAAAGCTTTGATTCATGAAAAACGGATGGTTATTCTGTACACTCTCTGGGAAGGCTCCCTTCTCTAGGACTTCTCATTCATGCCAGCAACTTCCAATTGTCCAGTTCACTTTCCCCTGAGCTTGACACCCAACCATCCATCTAGAAAACTTAACTTCTCTATAATAGGATTTGTTATCTTTGCCATCATCTTCCACACCTTTTCTTTCCTGGCAGGTCCTCTTTCATTAGGTAATAACACTCTGGGTATGTTAAAATGGGGAGAGGTACTGTTAGAGAAGGCAGACCACAATTCATGGGAAAGGAAACACACTGTTTAACTCTGATATTGAAACTAATATCTAAAAAGGAATGGAATTAAAAATGATGTCTTGGAGGGATTTATAAAGAAAAGGGGAAATGCTTTTGATTACTATGAGAAAACACACAAAACATGATTCTCCTACTTAGCAGTAATGGACAGAAAGTATGAGAATGGTTGTTTAGAGTGAAAACCATCCCTGTTTTTTTCTTTTCCCAGGGCATATGTTTTATAAAGTAAAAGAAGTGTACAAGCAAAACAATTGGGTGGGAGCTAGGTCGGCCTGACAGCTTGGAGCCATAAAAGGAAATTCCCTCTTGTCCTGGGCTTTTGATCTGAGGGGCGGAGCAGGGGGCGGTCCCAAGCCCTGGCCACAGCCTCAGGATGCCTTACTGCTGTGGTCACTTCCTGCGGGGGCTCTAGACGGGAGCCTGGAACAGATCAAGGGTCTGGCCACCCAGGTGCCCGAACGAGTTGAAGAGTGTGTGTGTGTGTGTGTGTGGGGGGGGGGGATGGCGGGGCAGGGGGGTTGCTTTTAACGAAATAATTTCCCTTCCACAGTCTGTCCTCTTCTACTCACAAATAGCCAAAGTTTTCCCAGGAGGTGGGTATCCCCGGAAGCTTCACCCTCACCCCCCCCCCCCCGCTTTGCCTCCCAAACCTTCAATTTATACCCTTATCAGCTTCCAGCAGTCTGTGACCCCAAATTTGACGGCATAGGTATGGGCAAAAGGGTGCTTGTTACTTCAAAGTCTGGACTATTATCTCAAGCAGGCCTGCAGGGAATTAACCACCACCTCATATCCAGCATATAGACAGATTGGGCTCCCATACTCTAGTACCTCAAACCAGCAATGAAATCTTCCGATATCACCAATGCTACCTCTTCACCTTTTGGCAGTGAGGAATCTTCAAATATGTCTGTCACACTGGGCAGCTCTGCCTAAACCTCTATATTTCCTCAGAACAGAATAATTACTGTACCCACTCTCTTATCAGAGTACCCTTTATGAATTATATGGGAAATGAAACTAGTGATTTTGCAAATTATTAAAGAAAAACAGCATAAGACTATTGGAACCAGTGCAGCCTGGACTAAGATGATAGATGATCGTGATCTCTCAAACCTAAAGAGTAATCACTCCCGCACTTTAAAAAAAAAAAAAAAAAAGCTAAAAAATTAAAATCCACTATCCTGAATTGCCAACACTACTGCTTGTCTTGGTTTCTTGCGTCAGGCAACACTGAAAACTAATCCACATTTATTTTCTCTTATTTCCTCACCTCCCATTCACTTTCCACCTGCCCAAGTCACCACCTTGATTATCTATGGTTGTGGGACTAGCACCCACCACAGGAGGTATTCAGTACAGTTCCTCAATTGAAGGAACGCTATGTAGTTTGATTTCTTCACCAATTAATCATCTGAAACAGCACTCAGAGATCATAAAATATATTCTAATTGTAAATGCAACAGTAACTTCAAAACGTTTAGGTTCTTTGACTTCTCAGTAGCCTATACTATTATTCACTATTCCCTCTCTGTTAATACATGTATTCTCTAACCTTTATTTTCTATTTCTTCAACTTCTGATTGTATCTTTTCAGTCGGCCAGGCTTTTCATCTCCTACTGAGACTATCTTCACTATCATGTACATGCTACTGTATCTCCAATCTGCTTAAAAGTCAGATCTCTCTCCTGAACTCCAAATCTATGTAAACCTACTTAACATTTCCAAGTTGCTGTACAATCACCTTAAGTTTAATATGTACAGAACAGAAAGCCTCAACCTTCAGTTTTCTCCATCTCAGTAAAAGCAACCACTAGATCTGTCCAAGTGCCCAGCCCAAGTCAAAGCCATCCTTCATTTTCCATCCCAAGCCCATTAATTTTTCATCTTTAATATTTCTGGAAGCTGATCACATCTCATTTTTCACCTTCCCAAATGTGATCCAAAACATCACTTCTAGGATGAACTAGGAAATTGCATGCTTTTCACAAAGCATCTAAGATGATACTCATGGAACATCTTATCACTACACAACCTTAAAACCAAGCTCTTAGAATAGAAGCATGACTCCTGCAGGTCTCTCCAGCCCTTTCTCTTGTTTTTTTTTTCACTTATACCCAATGCTCCATCCCACAGAGCTCTTCTATCCTCCAGCAACATGTAACTCCAGACAATATCCTGGCATTCTGTGCTGTCTTGCCTCCTAACGTTTGCCCATGTAGTTCATTAAGGCTGTGAAGCTCTTTGCAGCCTCTGCTTGTGAAACTTAACAGTTAAGATTCGGCGCAAACACTGCTTCCTCTGTGGAGACCCTTTGCCCACGACAGGCTATGCTTAGCACTCATTACACTGGATGTGAGCACCCCACGTAGTGGAGAAAGAGACTTCCAACCGCTTCAGCTCACCCCTGGTTGAGATCGTTCTCCGTGTTGTCCAGCCACAGGCGCACGGCAACCGCGTTGCCCTCCCGGCACTGAGTGAAAATGTCGTCCATAGCAGCGTCCCGGCGAGGGGGAAGCCTGGGGACTGTGGGGGTTCCCAGGGAAGGGGGATGAGCCCGAGCTTTATCCGCTAGAGGGGGGAAAAGTGTTGGTGCTGAGGAGGGGGCTGGGCGTTGTGCCCTGGCTAATGGTGGTCTGTGAAGGAGTTCAGGGAGAGTGGATAATCCCCTGGGCGCGAGGGAAAGGAAGGTCCAGGAGGGGTAGGAGTGATCACGAGGCTATCTCCAGAATTCAAGTCGCACACCAGGCGCGGAGACCCTACCCTCGAACAGCGCTCTGAGTGGGGGGGGGTGGGGGATGGGGAAGTGGCTCTGGCTCCGTTTACCCTGGGAGACCGGATGGGGGTCCTTCCCGAGGATCGCTCTGGTTCCCTACTCAGAACTCAGGCTGAGTGAGGAGTAACGGGTTGGCAGGGCCTCAGTCTTGGTCAGCGGGCGCCGGTCCTCCCGCACTCACCGGGTCTCGGGCTGGAGGCGCCTTCTTCGGGGAACTCCCGTCCGGCCGCGCCCGCCGCCCGGCCCCGCCCCACCCTGGCCCTCTACGGCCACCGCGGGCGGCCTTCCCTCCCGTCCTATAACCTCCCTTGCCCTTCTAGCCCACGAGAGCCTACACTCGATGGTTTCTGCGTCACACAGGCCGCTCTAGCAGCCGCTGTCCTTACTCTTTGGTTTCCGGCTGTGTCCTGGGGCTTCTGGACGTTTTGACTTCCGAGACGCTCTATGCACGTGGAGAGTAGGGTGGGCTTTGCCACTCTGCCCTCGCAGCCCACATGTTCGAGGAGCCTGAATGGGCCGGGGCGGCCCCAGTAGCCGCAGGCCTTCGGCTGGTAACCCCACAGACTCGGCCAGCGGCAGCCTCGCAAATCAAGGTAAGGGACTCCATAGCGGTAGTGGGATTGCATCAGGCCGCGAATCAGACCCTAATGGATCGCGGTGATGGGGCATGCCTTGCCTGTACGTTTGGGAGAGGGGGTATTTACAGCACAGTAGGTGATCTGAAGATCTGGATCCGAAGTAGTTGGTTGAGTAGAATTTGTTGACGAGAAGGAGGTTCCTTGGACAGGAAAGGGGCAAGGAGCATTTGCTGTTTTGTTAAAATCCATGGATTGGAACACCGAGTAAATGAAAGGGGGTGCTGTTGAAGAAGTAGAAGTTTTGCATATGTTGAGGCTACAGAAGTCAATGAAGTGTGTTTGGCAGGGGGGTGATTTTTTTCAGATTTGAATTTTGAAAAGGAGTTCTCTTCCTCCCTTCCTCTTCCCTCTCCATTCTCTTCCATCTCTCTCGAGGTTTTGGGAATAATCCAGGACCTTGGGCATTTTGGGCAAGCACACTACCACTGAGCTACATCCCCAGCCTTGAAAAGGTTATTGGTTGCAGTGTGGAGAATAGATAATTGAGTGGAGAGAGTAAGAGTGGGTGACAGGGAAGAGTTGTCAATATTGCTATTCAAGGGGGTGTGGGGTTGATTGAGAACCTTCAAGGTAAATACTTAGCCTAGGAGCACTCATTAGGACTTTTAATCCTGAATCAGCTTCCCTTTTCCTTTAACAGTAGACCTTTTCTTTTCAGGCTCAGTAGATGTGAGGACTGCTGTACTTCATAGGCTTTTTCTATCCTTCAGTCAGTCTCCAACATGGACTGCCTACTTTGTTTTCATCCCCACAGCTCATCAGCCTAATCCAGGCCACTGGTCTCTCTGTGTAGCTTCTTCCTCTCAGGTTGTTCTGTATACTGCAACTATCACATTTACTGCATGTGATCCTGTTCCTCCTGTGTTGAAGAAACCTCCCTACTTCTAAAGGTATCAGCTGGAGGTAAAAGCCTGAAACGAGGGACTGGAATGGTCTCACTTTGGTTCCCTTGCTTGTGGCCTTAGCACACTCCTCTGGGGAACCTCAATTACTAATCATTTACACATTGAACAAAATGGGGTAGGAGGTTTTTCGGCTCTCTGGCCTTCCAGAGGTTGGGGTGGTGACATGAAAGTTCTGGATCTGGAAAACTTCACTACAGTTGAAGTTGACTTGGAAAATCCAGATGCCTCTGCCAATATCTGAACCAGGTCCCTATCTCTCCTTTCTTGTCCTCACCCATTCTCACCCTATTCTCATCCTTTGTTTTCTTCCAGGGTTCCAAGCGCCGCCAGCTTTTGGCCACATTACGGACCCTAGAAGCAGCATCTCTTTCCCAGCAACCCCCTGGTAGCCCACCTGGCAGTGACTATGAGGAGGAGGAAGTTGTAGAACAGAAGAAACAACTGCCAAAGGCCTTGTTTGCCAATTCCTCTGCTAAAGGAGGGGAAAAAAGGAAGAAAAAACGTCCAAAACAGGGCCCACCTTGCAGTGATTCTGAGGACAAGGAATTAGAAAGGAAGAAGTGTCACAAAGAAGTTTTTGACAAAGATTCTGCTGAAGAGAAGAGAAAGAGGAAACACCAAAAACAGACTTCTTCAAACCCAACCCAACACCTGGACAGTGTTGACCAAACAGGTACATTGGATGTGTATATGTACATGTAGTGGAGGGATCATTCAGCTGATTGTACAGAGGATATCCACCATAGGCAATGAGTACTTTTATCCAGGCCAGTCTGTCTTCAAGACTATGGCCAGAATTTAGGGGACCTTGCCTCAAATAATACCTTCCTTTCTCCCTCCCTGCAGACCACGAAGCCTGGAAGAGTAGTGCTACAAATAACCTGCCCAAGCCAAGCCTTGGGTCTCCTTCTCCTAAACACCCGCGTACCTTGAGCCGCAAGCAGTGGCGGAATCGGCAAAAGAATAAGCGGAGACACAAGAACAAATTTCGTCCACCTCCAGCACCAGACAAGCTTCCTGCCAAGGACTCCACAGAGGACACAGAGGTGCCTCCTGCCCCCACGCCAAACAGCCAAGAGACTCGGGCAGGAGCCCTACGAGCCCGCATGGCCCAGCGGCTGGATGGCGCCCGATTTCGCTACCTCAATGAACAGCTGTACTCGGGGCCCAGCAGTGCTGCACAGCGTCTCTTTCAGGAAGACCCTGAGGCTTTCTTTCTCTACCATCGTGGCTTCCAAAGCCAAGTGAAGAAGTGGCCACTGCAGCCAGTAGACCGCATTGCCAGGGATCTTCGCCAGCGGTGAGGGTGGGCTCTTTGAGAAATGGTTTGGGTCATTCAAGGGCTCAGATCAGACCAATGTGTGACCGTTCTCTTCCATTCCCAGGCCTGCATCCCTAGTGGTGGCTGACTTTGGATGTGGAGATTGCCGTCTGGCTTCAAGTATCCGGAACCCTGTGCACTGCTTTGACTTGGCCTCTCTAGATCCCAGGGTCACTGTGTGTGACATGGCCCAGGTAAACCCCTGTATGTATCTGGCCTGTACTCTTTAATCCCTCTTCCCCCCATTCTAGTATCCAATCCAGTACTGAATGTCTCTTTCAAGCACTATATGCTTCATTCAATATTCCTACTCTCCACAGGTGCCTCTGGAGGATAAATCTGTGGATGTGGCTGTATTTTGCCTTTCACTGATGGGAACCAACATCAGGGACTTCCTGGAGGAGGCAAATCGGGTATTAAAGCCAGGGTAGGAGCCCCTAGGATTTAGATACATATATATGTGTATGCATGTATCTGCACATTTACACAGAACTTCCTCCTCTTCTCAGGGGTCTTCTGAAAGTGGCTGAGGTTAGCAGCCGCTTTGAGGATGTTCGGGCCTTTCTGGGGGCTGTGACCAAACTGGGCTTCAAGGTCATCTCCAAGGTGAGAACCTCAAGAAGTCTGTTTCTATTTTTGTCTTATGTGTAGTGTTCAGGAAGGAGGCATAGACATGTGAAATAGACATTTTTCTCTCTAGAGGCACAACTCTCAGGAAGCCCTATGAAGCTGTCTTATTAGCGGAAGGATTTAGAGGGAGGTGTTTTGAAGAGTTGTGTGCATTTGGAGCTCACTGGGTCTTTTCTTCCCCTAGGACCTGAGGAACAGTCACTTCTTCTTGTTTGATTTTGAAAAGACTGGGCCCCCTCGGGTAGGGCCCAAGGCTCAACTTTTAGGCCTGAAACTTCAACCATGCCTCTACAAGCGCAGGTGACCTCTGGACACTCCCTGAAAGGGGAGGCAGGTTCAGAACTCTCAAGACTGAATCCAGCCAAGCTGTGAGCCACGACCTAGTATTGCCTTCCCTCTGTCCCAAGAACAAAGTATGATAAAACCCCTGTCACAGCTCTAAGTGAAGTCTTCTCAGTTACAAGGAACATAACATCCCTTGGGCAAGCTAAAGAATAAGAAATTTGCTGTGAGAAAAGGAAGATATCTGAGGAATATAGATCTTTAGACCTCATGAAAACTAGTTGGTTTGGAATTGAAGGTTCTCTGGATTTGGCTCTTCTTTCCATCTCAGAAGGCACTTGGGCTTTTTGTCCTGATCTCTCCACTGTGCTCTTTTCTGATCTGTACTGACCAGCCTCTGCTCACTTCTGTCCTCTCAGCTTTAGTCTGCCAAGGCCTTCAAGACTGCAGACAGGTAGCTTGTCTGTCATGGCAATTACAATCTTGGCCTACTATTTACAGCTGGAAGTCATGTAATCTCTTATCACATTTCTCTCTTGGAAAATGCTAAAATTTCTGTCTTACAGCATTGTTGTCTGGGTTAACTGAGGAGGTCTATAGCCAGGACTGGAAACATAGAAGGTGCTCAATAAACTAACTCTATTATATGTTGTCTTATTGTTCTTTGAAGACCTTTCTTGGATCTGGTAGAAGGCTGAAGTGAATAGATTTATTGACTGAGAAAGACTCTGGGAGACTTAAGGTTAAGACTTTCAAGAGACTCATTTCATGGGATGCTTAGAGACTCAATGTATTTTGAACTGTCCTTGGAAAGAGGTAGTCCAGGAGTTGAGTTTCCATTCATGCACAGCTAGTTGATGTCACACTGGTATAGGCAATTGTGCTGCTTATGGTCAAATCGTCTGTCCATTGTTTTTGCCTTGTAGTGGGCCCAGATCAGCATGTCCTCAGAGGCTATAGGCAAGCAAGTCTAGTGCTAGGGAAATTTGAGTTAGAATGACAGATCCTAAGCCTCCCCTAGAAGGTAGCTGCCTTGGACTCAGGTGTAAAGATATAGCCTCTTCTGTCTAAGAACAAATCTGAGAGTGCCTACTAGAAAAACATAGGTAACAGGGCTCTGAGCCATTTGGATGAGCTGTGATCCATTCAACATAAGTAACACAATGCCTTTGCATGTTTTGTTCTCTACTGACTTTAGGAAAGTTTGTCATCCCAAATATAGTCGTTTCATATTCCCCCACTCCCAAAGCAGAATTATTTTTCATCTGTGTTCTCAAAGTACTACACAAAGAGTTAGCATTTAAATACTGTGTTGTAGTTACTCTGTTGATTAGGCTTCAGTCTTCTGAGCCATATTTAGTTTTGTGTTTCCACAGCTTATCACCTGAGGTATAGCCAATGTGCTCATTTACCTAGGGAAGGCTAAGAAATGACAAGATCTATTCGAGTTGAGATTGATGAGAGTAGCAGTATTGTAAAAGTCTAGGTTTGTAGCATAAGATCAAAGTGTTGTGGACTAGTGATGAAAGAAGTAGGAGAACTTCATTAGATAGAATTGGTGGGATGTCAAGGGTGGTTGAGAGAATGGAATCTGCAGTAAGTTCCAGGTTTTTGGCTTGAGCAACTGGGTGGGCTGATGATACCTGTTAAAGTGTTCAGGTGCTCATCAGATGTCATTTGAAAGTGAGACAAGCTAGGGGTAATGGTGCATGCCTATAGTCCTAACTACTGCAAGGCTTAAGCAATAGCTAGAACTGGGTTGTGTTTGCTCATTTGAGTCCAAGAGTTTGAAACTAGCCTAAGCAACATAGTGAGACCTGTCTCAAAAAAAGAAAAAGAAAGGAAAGAAAAGTATGAGACATGGGTGAAATTGTGCTAGGGATTTAGGGATGTAACCTAGAGGTGGTAAAGTTGATGGAATAGATAAAGTATTAATGATAGGAAAAAAAAAAAGAGAAAGTGGCTCAGAATTGAATTCTGAAGTGCATTTAATAGATGGACAAAGGAAAATTAACCAGTAAAGGTGACAAGATGAGAAGGTTGAACCATAGAGGAGTAAAATCAGAAAAGTAGTTTTTTTATACAGGAGGAATGGGCACATTGTCAACTATCATATGCTGTTGAGAGGTCTATTAAAATGAGAGAGAAGTCAGATTGCAATTGAGTGAAGATTGCTGCACAATGGTGAGGGCAGTTTGAATTTGTCATATTCTTGAATTTATAGTTTTACCAGTCAATCTAATGATGTGGTTGTCCTTATCTACTCAGGAATCTGGGTATAACTGTGAAAGAGGTGAGTATTATGGGATCATCCAGAGTTGATGTCATGCAACTGAAATGAACGGATAATGAGCAAAGGAGTTTTAGGCTATCACATGTAAGTGATGGCTGTGCTGAATTGTGGAGTTTTGTAGAACAGGTAAGAGAGTGGAGATCAGAGTAGGTTTTTGTATGGCAAGTTGTACGATAATCAGACAAGTGACCTGGGAAGATGGGAAACTTTCAGAAATCAGAAGCCTGAATTATTAATTTTAGAAGCAGAGCAGCTTCAGGTGAGGGTAGTCTAGGGTGTGTCCACTGGGGTAAGTGCCTAAGAGGCGTGAAAGGGAGGTTGCCTGGAGATTGGATAATGAACTGAGGGTCAGGTATTATGGGGAGGGGGTTGTCTGTGTAGATTTGAATTTCTCCAGAATGATAGTAAAGTTGACAGTGGAGCAGGTACCAACTTCTTGAAGGGAGGAGATGCTCCAGAAGATCTATAGACAAAGAAAGGGAGGGAGAGGGCAGGATGGCATTTATTTCAAAAGAGCAGAATTTATACAACCTACTAGAAAGACTTCCATGTTAGGGGTAATGTGAGCTGGTGAGTGGAGCTGGTTGCCAGGCAGCCAACATAAAATGCTCTGACAGTCCTCTCCAGTTTCATGGAACTTATTGGGAGACTATTGTGGCATGAAGTAGGAGCTTCCTGTAATAACCAAGTGGGAGGCAATCCATAAAGATTAATAAATGTGTTTTGAGTATCAAAAGTATCTCACTGTAGGATACACAATCATCTTTCATAGCTAGCTCCACATTTGCCTTTTTTCCCAAATGTTACTAACATTCATAGCTCTGGAGTATTTCCTATGTTTTCTCATTAAACTCAGCAGGCCAGCTGAGGTCTGCCTTATAATTTGGATACTCCCTTTGCCTATTCTGATTGCAGCCACCTGAATAAACATCTCTCTGAATCTGACTCAGGCCCTAGTGTCATCACATCAGTCATCCTGATTCCAAAAGCAGGACTCTCCTAAGCCTGATCTGGGTCCTGCCTTCTCTGTCATCAGCTTCAGGACAAACTTGTTCAAGTCCATTCTTGGGCTTCAATGTCTTTTGTTGAGAGTCCATACTAATAGAAAAATAATGTGTATTTCATTAAGGAATAATAGCTTGCTCACTGATTAAGGAACTGGAAACCTGTGTGGCTAAAACTGATTGAAGGACAAGAGTAGTAGGAGATAGATTGAATTAGAAGGGTATTACTGCTAGAATATGAAAGGCAGTGGTTCTCAAACTTTAGAGTTCATTAGAATCACCTTACAAGCCTCATTATTGTGCAGATTTCTAGCCTTCTCCCTGAGTTTCTGGGTCAGTAAATTAAGATCAGTCCCCACAAATTCTTTTCTGGTTGTTTGAATTTTTTCAGTGAAACAGGAAGCAAATTTGTTGGTTGAAAGTGAGAATGGCGAGGAGTTGTTGGGGTTTAAAGGAAAAGAGAAGTAAATATTATTTCTAGGAGAATAGATGAAGGAATGATTGAACTAGTGCTGGCAGCATTTATAGCATACTAGAAGTTCAAGTCTTAAGTAAAAAGGATGGGATAGGAGCAGATTGGTACAAGATTGTTTTTCAGAAAATTTGTTTCTCAGTGTACAGTGGGTCTGTCAGAATCTAACCCCTTCTTTAGGGAGGGGCAGGATTTTGCCCTCCTACTTCAAGTCCCTTGGAAACCTCACTGGGACTATTTAGGGAGCATGAGGTACTTATTCCTACAGCTGAGGAATGATGAGTTTGGAGTCTGATCCCTACCCTGGAAATGTACAGGGCAAGTAAAAGCTCACAAACTCTTTCAGTGGTGGGGTCAAGAGATTGCTGCTGCTTTGACATTGGTCTCCATTTCCAGAATTTCCTCTGGCAAGTGATGCATGTGTGTATCCTCTTTCCTTGCAGGAAAGAGGGAACTGTGGGGTTGGGTCTTCGGTCTTGTCCAATAGGACCATTTTTAAGAAGCTAGGAGACTTGGCACAGATAAGTGAGGAGTGTGCCATGTGGGCTGGGGAGGGAGTTGTAGGGTTCCACCCAGAATATATATGTATCCACCAAGGTCTCTAGGTGACAGCAGGAATTTACCTATGAAATATCTGTCAGGCACATAGGACACATAACCTCCCAGTCAAGCCAGACTGTTTTACTCCCTTACTTTCTCTCTCTCTAGACTTGGGCACACAATAAATAGCAGCAATTAGGTGGAGACGAAGTATGGGGAGAAAGAGCACTCCTCCATTCCCCAAAGCAGGCTCCTTGACTTTTAAGTGGGGCAGAGCTGAGAGGGGAAAAGATTTAAAGCCATGACAGGTACAAATTATTTATTGTTAGACATAATTAGATATTATTTGAAATTATGTTTTGTCTTTAAACTGGTCATAGAACTATAGGCTTGGTGGTGCACACCTGTAATCGCAGCAGCTCGAGTGGCTAGGGCAGGAGGATTGCAAGTGCATAGCCAGCCTCAGCAAAAGTGAGGCACTAAACAACTCATTGAGATCTTGTCTCTAAATAAATACAAAATAGGGCTGGAGATGTGGCTCATAGTCCCCCTGAGTTTAATCCCTAGTACCAAAAAAAAAAAAAACAAGAAGAAGAAGAAGAACTATCTGTTAACTAAGAATCTCACAGACTTGCTGCAGCTTTTCTCCATAGCAAGGAAAGAGTCCTCTCCAATGAATACAGTTTGCAGAGATGGTAAGAGAAAAGAATAAAGTTGGTTTGGATGTCTATCAGTCTGGGCGTGGTCTTGTTCAGTATCCCTTTTAGAGGTCTGCAAGTAAGTAGGTCTTGCTTCCGCAGTTGTGTGCTCCTGCTTTTGCTTCCATAATACAGTCCTAAGCGAACACATCTCCAAAAGAAACAACATGATTTTGGCAGAGAAAACAGTTCAGCTTCAAACACTAACCCATTATGTAATTGCACAAAGCCCTCTATAATTTCTAAAGACAGAAACTAGTAATTAGAGCCTTTCATTTCCAGGTCATTCTCTTTCCAGGTGACTTCTCTGACCAGCTACCTGGTTCCAGGACATTTCACCGCTGCATTAACTACCTTACTGGTCTAATTGCTTCTGCTTCCCAAAGCAATTCATTGTGCACATAGCCAAGTGATCTTTTTAAAATGTAAATGAGATTATGTCATTTCTCTGCTTAAAATCCTTCAATGGATTCTCATTGCCTCAAGAACAAAAAACAGACTTCTTCCCAGGCCCTGTGTGATCTTGCCCAAGCCTTGCTGTCCAACTGTGCCTTAACCCACTCCTCCCCCTCTCTCAGAACTCCAGCTACACAGGCTTTCCATTCGTTTCTCATGCATCCCAAGTTGTTTCTACTTTAGGGTCTTTTACACATGTTGCTTCATCTACCTAGAACTCTTTCCCAGGTGAGTTCATTTTCATCTTCCAGTGATTTTTTAGGATGCACACACACAGACCCACACCTCAGATAGAACCCCTTTTGGTTCAATGTATTGCATTTATCTTCTCCCACTCTGGTTTGTCTTTTTACTCTCATTACGGGTGCTTATTGATGAATAGATTTTTTTGTTTGTTTGGAAGAGAGAGAGTTGCAGTGTTTTGCACAGACTGGCCTCAACAACTTGGGCTCAAGCAAATCTCCTGCCTCAGCCTCCTGAGTAGTTGGAACCACAAGTATTCATGGTATGCCCTGAGCAGAAGTTTGTAATTTTATTTTATTATATATTTTTAATTTCAGGATTTTTGTTGTTATGCTTTTTAGATATACATGACAGTAGAGCGTATTTTGACATACATCCATGGAGTATAATTTATTCTAATTAGGATCCCATTCTTGCAGTTATACATCATGTGAAGTTTTACTGGTCGTGTATTCATATAGACATAGGAAAGTTATGTCGATTCATTCTATCATCTTTCCTATTCCTGTCTTCCCTCCCTTTTTTTTTTTTTGGTACTTAAGGATCGAACCCAGGGGCACTTAACCACTGAGCCATATCCCTCAACCGTTCTTTATATTTTATTTAGAGACAAGGTTTTGCTAAGTTGCTGAGCCTGGCTTTGAACTCATGGTCCTCCTGCCTCAGCCTTGCCAGCCAGTAGGATTACAGGTGTGCTCCATTGCGCCTAGCTCTCTCCATGTTCTTGATTGTTTCCTTTGATGTGAAGAAGCTTTTTAGTTTGATAAAATCCCATTTATTTATTCTTGATTTTACTTCTTGTGCCTTAAATGTACTGTTGAGGAAGTCAGCTCCTAAGCTGACATGATAGAGAGTTGGGCCTATTTTTTCTTCTAGTAGTCATAGGGTCTGTGGTCTAATGCCTAGGTCTTTGATCTACTTTGAGTTGATTTTTGTGCAGGGTGAGACATAGGGGTTCAATTTCATTCTACTACATATGGATTTCCAGTTTCCCTAGCGCCATTTGTTGAAGAAGCTATCTTTAGTGTATGTTTATGGAGCCTTTGTCTAGGATGAGATACCTGTATTTATGTGAGTTTGTCTCTGTCTTCTATTCTGTTCCACTGGTCTTCATGTCTGTTTTTGACTGTAGTTCTGTAGTATAATTTAAGTTCTGGTATAGTGATGCCTCCTGCTTCACTTTTCTTTTTTTTTCTCATTTTTTTATTGTTTTATTTTTTAAATACATGACAGCGGAATGCATCACAATTCTTATTACACATATAGAAATTTTTTTCATACTTCTGTTTATATATAAAGTATGTTCACATCAATTCATGTCTTCATACATGTACTTTGGATAATGATGTCTATCACATTCCACCATCCTTGCTAATCCCCTGCCCCCTCCCTTTCTCTCCCACCCTTCTTCCCTATCTAGAATTCATCTATTACTCCTATGATCTCCCTCTACTACTCCACTATGAGTCATCCTCCTTATATCAGAGAAAACATTCGGCATTTGGTTTTTTTGGATTGGCTAACTTCACTTTGCATTATCTTCTCCAACGCCATCCATTTACCTGCAGATGCCATGATTTTATTCTCTTTTATTGCTGAGTAAAATTCCTTTGTATGTATATATGCCACATTTTTTTTTATCCATTCATTCACTGAAGGGCATCTAGGTTGGCTCCACAGTTTAGCTATTGTGAATTGTGCTGCTATAAACATTGTTGTGGCTGTGTCCCTATAGTATGCTGTTTTTAAGTCCTTTGGGTATAGTCGGAGGAGAGGGATAGCTGGGACAAATGGTGGTTCTATTCCCAGATTTCAAGGAATCTCCATACTGCTTTCCATATTGGCTGCACCAATTTTTCTGCTTCACTTTTCTCGATAAGGATTGCTTTGGGTATTCTGGGCCTCTTTTATTTTTCCAAATGAATTTCATGACTGCTTTTTCTATACCTATGAGCAACATCATTGGAATTTTAATGGGAATTGCATTAAATCTGTATAGCACTTTCAGCAGTATGGCCATTTTGACAATATTAATTCTGCCTATCCAAGGACATGGGAGATCTTTTCATTTTCTAAGGTCTTCTTCAATTTCTTTCTTTAATGTTCTGTCGTTTTCATCGTAGAGGTCTTTTACCTCTTGTTAGATTGATTCCCAAGTTTGTTTTTTTTTGACACTACTGTGAATGGGATAGTTTTCCTGATTTCTCTTTCAACTGATTCATCATTGATGTGTAGGAACTCAATTTACTGGTGTTAATTTTATGTCTTGCTACCTTTCTGAATTTGTTTATGAGTTCTAGAAGCTTTCTGGTGGAGTTTTTTTGGGTCTTCTAAATATAAAATCATGTCTTCAGCAAATAGAGATAACTTGAGCTCTTCTTTTCCTATTCATATTGCTTTAATTTCTTTCTTTTGTCTAATTGTTCTGTCAAGGGTTTCAGGAACTATATTGAATAGAAGTGGTGAAAGAGGGCATTCCTGTCTTGTTCCAGTTTTTAGAGGGAATGCTTTCAATTTTTCTCCATTTAGAATGATGTTGGCCTTGGGTTTGGCATAGATAGCTTTTACAATGTGGAGGTATGTTCTTACTATCTCTAGATTTTCTTGTGTTTTGAATATGAATGGATGGTGAAATTTGTCAAATCCTTTTTTCTATACCTATTGAGATAATCATGTGAATCTTCTTTTCATAAGTTTTCATAAGCAATGCCAGTATTTTATTAAGAATTTTTGTATCTATGTTCATCACAAATATTGATCTTAAGTTTTCGTTTCTTGATGTATCTTTGTCTGATTTCAGTATCAAGGTGATGCTAGCTTCATAGAATGAGTTTGGAAGGGTTCCCTCCTTTTCTATTTCATGGAATAATTTGAGGAGTATTGGTATAAGTTCGTCTTTGAAAGTCTGGTAGAACTTGGCAAAGAATCTGTCTGGTCCTGGGCTTTTCTTTTTTGGTGGACTTTCGATGTCATTTTCAATATCATTGCTTGAAATTGATCTGTTTAAATTTTCTATATCCACCTGATTCAATTTGGGTAGTTCATCTCTCTCTAGAAATTTGTCCATATCTTTGTGATTTTTTCATTTTATTGTAGTTTCTGATTACTCTTTGTATTTCAGTAGTTTCTATCATATTTCCTTTTTCATCCAAATTTTAGTAATTTGAGTTTTTTTCTCTATTAGTTTGACTAAGCGTTTATCAATTTTGTTTATTTTTTTCAAAGAACCAACTTGTTTCATTTAGTTTTTTGAAGCTTTTTTGTTTGTTTCAATTTCATTGATTTCAACTCTGACTTTAATTATTTCTTGTCTTTTACTGCTTTTGGTGTTGATTTATTCTTTTTCTAGGGCTTTGAGATGTAATGTTATTTGTTGACTTTCTATTCTTTTAACAAATGAACTCAATGCAATGAACTTTCCTCTTAGAACTGTGTTCATATTGTCCCAGATGTTTGATATTTTGTGTTGCTATTCTCATTTACCTCTAAGTATTTTTTTTTCTTTCTTTCTTTCTTTTTTTTTTTTTTTTTTGAATTTTCTTTTAAGCTTTCCCTGTGAGCTCAAAAGTGATTCAAGAAAGGTTTTGCTAAACAAACTGAAGCACGCTTGTCATTACATTAAAAGGTAAGAAAACAATTTAAGGAGACAGCCAGCATCAAGGGCCCAGAAACACTGTGGTGCCATAGGTCAACTCACTCAGTCAGACATATGTATACCAGTGTGAATCTTTAAAATTCTACCCCAGTCTTGGCCTTGCCCCCACCCCCACCCCCCACCCCAAAAAAACTAAAACAGAAAAAAAGAAAAGCATCTGCCTCCTTCCAGCAGCCAGAGACAGTTCCCAGAGTTGTCTCTGAAAAGGAAAAAGTATTCATTATGATTTTAGGCTACCATGTGTTCTTTTAAGACAATATAAGGAAAGGAAAAATCAGAATATTGACCAAAGAGCAGTGACTTCCTGCTGTCAGCAAGCCTCTTCAGGGCTTGGTTTTCATGTGTCCATCTGTGCCCTGGGAGTCATCTTGTCCTCTGGGGTCCATCCCTCCCTGGTTGCCAGGGTACCACCTCACAGGGGGTTGGCCAGCACCTTTTTCCATGGATTGATCATGCTGGGGTGGAACTCGGTGTGATGCAGGGTTTGCATTGTGAGGGGATCACTCCTCATGAAGTGCTTCTCACACAGTGGACAGTGGAACTGTGTGGGTCCTGCAGTGGCCAGTCAGCTCATATGAGCTGGAGAACTTTAAGGCAGTCTGGCCACGTGTGGGGAAAGGGCCGTTCATTCTGTAATGGGCTTTGAGATGAGAGCATTTTCCATAGACTTTCTCACAGTCAGTGTAGGGCCATTTCAGGCAGGAGGAGGGAGACTGGCTAGGGGCCCCTGGACCCTGTGGAAAGGACTCTACCCTGATTCAGTGGTCACGTCGCTGTTGGATCCCATTTCCTTGTCAGGACTCTCCAGACTGTCGCTTTGAACACGGATGGGGTCTGGATCGGTCCATATTTTTAAATTTTATCCCTGATTTCTTCTGCTGTTCTTTGGTCATTTAATAGTGTTATTATTTAGTCTCTAGGTATTAGAGTAGCTTCTATTATTTTATCCTTGATTTCTAATTTCATTTATTTATGATCTGATATAATGCAAGGTATTTTCTCTCTGTCCCTCTTTTTTTTTTTTTTTTTTCTTGTATTTGCCAAGAGTTACTTTGTGGCCTAAATATGGTCTATTTTTGAGAAGGATCTATGTGCTCCTGAGAAGAAAGTGTATTCAATCATTGATGGATGTAATGTTCTATATGTCTGTTAAGTGTAAATTATTATTTGTACTTTTTTAGTTCTGTAGCTACTTTATTTAGTTTTTGTTAGGAGGATCTATCCAGTAGTAAGAGAGGTGTGTTAAAGTCACCCAGTATTATTGTGTTGTGGTCTGTTTGATTCTTGAAATTGAGAAGGGTTTGTTATGTAGATGCTCCATTATTTGAGGCATAAATATTTATGTATGTCTTGTTGAAGTATAATTCTGTTAAGCAATATGAAATATCCTTCTTTGTCCCTTCTGATTGACTTTGGCTTGAAGTGCACTTTATCTGATATGAGAATAGAAACCCCTGCTTGTTTATGAAGTCCATGTGAATGATATGTTTTTTTCCCATCCTTTCACCTTTATTCTGTGGATATCTTTGCTTATGAGGCGAGCTTCTTGGAGATAGCATAATTTGGTTCTTGTTTTTTAATCCTGTCTACCAGTCTTTATCTTTTGATTGATGAATTTAGGCCATTTACATTCAATGTGATTATTGAAAAATGATTTTTATTCCCTGTTTCTGGTTTTTAATTTGAATTAGTTTCTCCTTTGATTGACTGTCCTTCTAGTGTAATTCTTTCCTTTGCTAGTTCTCAATTTTATTTTTCATTTCTTCTGTATGAAATATTTTGTTGAGTATGTTTTATAGTGCAAGCTTTCTAGTTGTGAATTCTTTTGACTTTTATTTATCATGGAAGGTTTTTATTTTATTGTCAATTCTGAAGCTTAATTTTGTAGGATATCATATTCTTGGTTGGCACTGATTTTCTTTCAGAACTTGCTGTATATTATTCCATGTGCTCTTAGCTTTAGGGGTCTAGGTTGAAAAATCAACTGATACCTGGATTGCTTTTCCCTCTCATTTTTCTCTGGCAGACTTTAAGTTGTATTCTTATTCTGTACATTAAGCATTTTCTTCTTCTTCCTCCTCCTCCTTCTCTTCCTCCTCCTCCTCCTCTTCTTCTTCTTTTAGTTGAAAGTGGACACAGCTGAGGATAGAACCCAGGGCCTAACATGCTAGGCAAGCACTCTACCACTGAGCCACAATTCCAGCCCTAGGTATTTTCTTAATAATGAGCCTTGGTATGAGTCTGTTGCAATTTTGTATATTTGAGGTCCTGTAAACCTCCTATATTTGATTTTGCATTTAATTTTTATTAGGTTTGGGAAATTCCCACATATTATCTCATTGAAAAGATTTTGCATTCCTTTGGTTTTTATTTCTGAACCTTCATCTATCCCAATAAATCTTAAGTTTGCTCTTTTCATGTTACTCCATATTTCTTGAAAGTTCTGTTAATGGTCTCTTCTTTTTACCATGATCAACTTTATTTTCAAGATTATATATTTTTTATCATTGCCTGAAACTTGGTCTTCCAAGTGGTCTAATCTGTTGTTCATCCTTTCCATTGAATTTTTTTTAGAACTTTTTTTTTTAGTTGTAGATGGATACCTTTATTTTAGTATTTTTTAATATGGTAAAATAAAAATAAAGATAAAAGAATACAAGAACCAATCCTATATGAACTAATCAAATATCTTAGTCCTCAAAGTACTGGTCCATGAAAAGTAACTGCCTTCAAAAATTGCTAGAGTGGCATTTATACACAATGGAGTATCACTCTGCATTAAAAAATGACAAAATCATAGAATTTGCAGGGAAATGGATGGCATTAGAGCAGATTATGCTAAGTGAAGCTAGCCAATCCCTATAAAACAAATGCCAAATGTCTTCTTTGATATAAGGAGAGTAACTAAGAACAGAGTAGGGTTGAAGAGCATGAGAAGAAGATTAACATTAAACAGGGATGAGAGGTGGGAGGGAAAGGGAGAGAGAAGGGAAATTGCATGGAAATGGAAGGAGACCCTCAGGGTTATACAAAAGTACATACAAGAGGAAGTGAGGGGAAAGGGAAAAATAATACAAGGGGGACAAATGAATGACAGTAGAGGGGGCAGAGAGAGAAGAGGGGAGGGGAGGGGAGGGGAGGGGAGGGGGGATAGTAGAGGATAGGAAAGGCAGCAGAACACAACAGACACTAGTATGGCAATATGTAAATCAATGGATGTGTAACTGATGTGATTCTGCAATCTGTATATAGGGTAAAAATGGGAGCTCATAACCCACTTGAATCAAAGGGTGAAATATGATATATCAAGAACTATGTAATGTTTTGAATAACCAACAATAAAAAATTAAAAAAAAAATTGCTAGAAATATGAGAACCCAATGCCTCATGCATGCGAGGCAAGCACTCTACCACTGAGCCACAACTTCAGCTCTCCACTGAATGTTTAGTTTGTTTTATTGATTTCTTCATTTTGAGGATTTCTGCCTGAGGTGGGTATTTTTTTTTCCAGAATCTCTTTATTAAAGTGCTCTTTCACTTCCTCTATTTTTTCCCTTAAATCATCCTTTACCTTGCAATCAATTTAATTATGAACATTCTAAACTCATTCTCTGAAAATTCTTCCACTGTGGTGTTGATGGATTCTGTTATTGAAATATTTTGGTTTGCTTTGGGTGATTTGTTTCCTTGCTTTTTCATGTTGTTTTTGTGTCTACCTAACAGTTGGTTTTGAGGGAGCAGAGTTTCTACCCAGTGGACATTTAGTGTCCCTGAAGGTTTCCAGTGCCTCACAGTTTAGGGGGAGACAGATAATAACAACAACCAAAGCAATCAGTTTACAGCATTAAACCAAATAGATCTTACTATAGCACCTAGAATGTTAATTGTCATAATAATCAGAAATGATATGATCAGTTATTGCCCACAATAAAAACAGTAAGTTTATAAAAGAGTTTATGATTTCAAGTGGTGAACAGAGATAGAACAGTAGTGATGTAGATGTGATGATTATGAGGGAGGGGAGAGAAAATAGAAGTAAAAAATTAAAGAAAGAATGAAGGGGAGCTGGGTACAGTGGTGTAGACCTGTAATCCCAGCAGCTCCGGAGGCTGAGACAGGAGGATCATGAGTTCAAAGCTTATTTTAGCAATGGAGAGAGCTAAGAACTCAGTGAGACCCTGTCTCTAACACATCTAGCTGGGGATGTGGCTCAGTGGTCGAGTCCCTCTGAGTTCAATCCCTGGTACCCACCAAAAAACTTTACTCTTTTGAGTGAAGGAGCAATAAGTAGAGATTGGCTGTTAGCAGAGGAAAAGAGAGAGAGAGAGAGAGAGAGAGAGAGAGAGAGAGAGAGAGAGAGAGAGTGTGAGTTGAGGGAAAAAGATAAGTGAGAGAAAAAAAATGTGTAAAATAAAATTTAAAAATAATAATAAAAATAAAGATAAAGGAATACAACAACCAATCCTAAATGTATTAATCAAATATCTTAGTCCTCAAAGTACTGGTCCATGAAAAGTAACTGCCTTCAAAAATTGCTAGAAATGAGAAAAAAAGAAACAGATTATGTATATGTGTCTAGTTAAGAGTAAAGAAGAGAGATGGGGGGGTAGAAAAGAGTTTGTAGATTCAAGGACAAAGAGGCAAGGTAGGATATGTTTATGAAGGAGAAGAAGAAAAACATAGAAACAAAATAATTAAAGGAAGAGTGAAAGAATACTAGAGTTTGGCTGTTAGCAAGAAAAAAGGGAGAAATAGAAACAAAGGGAAACAGATTTGTAACACAACAGAAAATCTATTCAAAATTTACTAATCAAAATCTCGAATCCTCAACAGCAGGGAACAATAACTACCTTCAAGAAATGCTAGAAATGAAAAAGCAGAAACAAATATGTATGTGTACAAATGTATAAATGTCCATCATTTATCATCAGCATACATTCAAAAACAAAATAGTCAATAGGAGTATGTGCCAAACCATCTTTCCATTACTCAGCTCCCTTTATCTGGATGGTGTGGAGAGCTGTGGAAGATGCTTTCAGCTTCACTTACAGGGTATAGTTGCCATTGGGTTCTATGAGATGAATTTCTGTAAGTGAAGCTCCCTGGGGTAGAGATTAGGTCTGGAATTGCTGTGTTAATTATAATAACTTTCAAATAAATATTAATATACAGTACAGTAACCCCCACATTTTTCTTTCCTAAAAGGACTCTTTGTTATCTTTTGCATTTCCATAATAGTCGTTCCTTAAACACTGATGGAATATTCTAAAGCTGGCTCAGTTTGAGGAAAATCAATATATTTATTATACTCAATCTTATAATTCTGTAGTCTATATGTCCATTTCTTTAATTGCTCTCAGTAATGTTTTACATTTATGTATAAATTTCCTGCACATCTTTTGTTAGATTTGTTTCTAGGCATTTACTGTTTATTTTAATGAATTGCAAGTAAGAGCTTTCAAATTTTCATTTTCTGCCTACTCATATATGGAAATGAAGTAGACTTTTTTTTTGTGGTGACCATGAAGCAGTACCCTTGCTAACTTAATAATTTATCTGTAGCTTTAAGTTTTTCCTACATACATTATTTTTATATAGTCACAGTTTTATTTTATTTTTTCCTTTCACATTTGATTTCACTGATTTTTTTTTCTTTTTGGGGGGTGGGGTGGGGGTGGGGTGGGGGTTAAGCCCAGAAGTGCTTTACCATTGAGCTACATCCCCAGGCCTTTTTATTTTTTTTATTTTGATAGAGGGTCTTGCTAAGTTGCTGAAGCTGGCTTCAAACTTGCAATCCTCCTATCTCAGCTTCCCCAGCTGTTGCGATTAAAAGTGTGTGCCACCATACTGGGCTCATTTATTTATTTTTGTTTTACTCTACTGGCCAAGAAGTCAGTTTCTATGTTCAGTAGAAGTGTTGGAGCCCAGTGTGGTGATGTAAGCCTGTGATTTTCCAGTGACTCGGGAGGCTGATGCAAGCCTGGGCAATTCATTGAGACCCTTTCTCAAAATAAAATTAAAAACTAGCGGTGTAGCTTGGATGTAGAGTGCCACTGGGCTCAGTTCTCAGCTCAGTAACAGGGGAGGGGGAAAAAAAAACTGAAAAAAAAGTGTTGGTGGAAGTCCTTGTCTCATTCTCAAAATCGAAGGAAAGCTTTCAGCATTTCATTACTAGGCATGAATTTTCCAACAAGGTTCTTGAAATACTCGTAGATTAATGACTTGCCATTCTAGTTTTTTTTTTTTTAAATCATGAATTGTACTTCGTATTTTGTCAAATGCTTCTAAATTGAGATAATCACATAACTTTTTAATCAGTTAATATAGCAATTAGTAGATTAATTTTCTTACATCAAATCAACCTCAAATTCTTGGAATAATATCAGTTTGGTCGATCCTTTTTATATATTAAAATAAGCTTATGAGTGCATGTAAATATTTCATCATAAAGCATTCTCCTTTCAACACAGTGCTTTTATGATTGATTCATGTTGCTACATGTATGTGGAAATCTATAGCTTATTTTTCCTTCTCCAAATGTTCTAATGACTTCCCATCTCATTCAATACCAAAGTTCTTATTGTGACCTACAAGGCCCTGCATTATTTAGATTCCAATTACTTCTATGACTTTATCTCTTTACTATTCACCTCCTTGGGACAATATTAATTGATCCAACATATGTGTATGGAGTACTAGGAGAGAAAGGGGCAGGAAAATATTTGAAGACGTGGTGACTAAAATCTCAACATTATTGAATAACGTGAACTTAAAGATTCAAGAATCTGTGAATCCTGAACAAATAAATATAAAGAAAAACCACACCTGGGAATATTATAATCAAATTGCTAAGAGCCAAAGAAAACAGAGAAAAGCATAGGAGACAAGGATGTGATTAAAAACAGAAGTCTCATCAAAAGCAATGGAATACAGATGACACTGGAATAGTCAACGTGCTTTTTAAAAAAGAAGTTAAACAAGAATTTGATATTCAGGCAGTTTAGTAGCCTGGACTCAGGTTGTAAATGAAAGCAAAATAAAAACAATTCAAGGTGGTAAGGGTGAGGGTAAAAAAAAAAAAAATTGAAGAATTTATTACTAACAGACCAACATAAAAATTTAGTTCTTTGGGCCAAGGAAAAATGATGCCAGATGGCAACTCAGATCTACAGAAAAAAAAAAAAAATGACAAACACCAGAAATGTTAAATATGTGGATAAATACACAAGCATCTGTATATTTTATTATTCTTTAAAAGACATATGACTTTAAAAATGCATACCATGTATTGGTTTTATAACATATATTGCTACATATGGCAATAACTCAAAGAGTAGGGTAGGGATACTAGTGGAGCCATAATTGTTACAATTTTACCTGAAGTAAACTATATGACCCTTAACTGAACTGGACTAATTAAAGT